ATGCCATACGCTTCTTCATTACAATTGTTATTGGTATCTTATTTGGTCTAATTTTCTGGAACAAGGGACAAAAATTGTAAGGCTTTACTGGCCTCTGTAATTATTTGTACTTGATTTCACGTTTTATGGTTTTGATGTTTTGTTTTTGCTCTGTATTTAACAGAGCCAAGGAACAAGAAGTGTTGAATATTATGGGTGCTATGTATGCTGCTGTCCTTTTCCTTGGAGCTACCAATGCTTCAGCTGTGCAGTCTGTGGTCACTATCGAAAGAACAGTTTTCTATCGAGAAAGAGCTGCCGGGATGTATTCTGCATTACCTTATGCATTTGCTCAGGTAACAAAAATGATCACCCGCACTGCCTCTAATGATCACTAGACCCTAAAGCTTAATATGATAGATTAGTGTAAATTTAATCTTTTTAATATATTCTTTAACTCTCACTCGCATGTGAGCAACACACGCTGTATTATAGGTTAAAATACTATTTTAGTTATACTTTCAGCTTTTGTTCATTTTGATTCATGTACTTTCAAAGTGATTATTTTTGTCCTTGTACTGCATTTGTACTGCACTTTTAAAAGGTGATAGTTTTGGTCCTTTAATTTTAATTTTTTATCTCATTTTCTCGATCACAATTTCATCACTACACTACACTCAATATATTTCTTAAAATGTAGTCATAATTTTATATTAAAGGGTTTCTATTTTGTATAGAACTTGTGTCCAAATTTTGCAAACAGAGACCATAATAGTCACTTTTTTTTTTTTTACAAGAACTAAAATAAACCAAAGCTGTAAGTAGAAGGGTCAATATGAAAAAAAACTTAAAGTACAACGATAAAGATAGACATTTTAAAAATAGAGCTACTAAAATAAACGAAAACTAAAAGTAATATTTTAACCTATATTATGAAATGAGAAGAGATGAAAATAAGAATAACATTGTAATGGTTTCAACTAAAAGACTCCTACTCTAATATCATGTTAATCATTAATAGATTATGGATCCGAAAGCTTAAATATATTCAGCTAAGATTCATAAAGCTGTAATGGAAACTATCTTCAGGCAAGTCTTTAGCTTTCTGGTGAAATATTATAGAAAAAAGTGAACTAAAGATTAAACCTTTTTTTTTCCTGCAGGTGGCAATTGAGACAGTTTATGTATCTCTGCAATCTTTAATTTACTGTCTCCTTCTTTATAGCATGATTGGGTTTGAGTGGAAAGTGGGAAAGTTTTTATTGTTCTACTACTTGGTTCTAATGTGCTTCATATACTTCACACTATATGGGATGATGGCTGTAGCATTGACTCCAGGCCTCCACATTGCAGCCATTGTCATGGCCTTCTTCTTTGGCTTTTGGAACTTGTTCACGGGTTTTCTTATACCTCGACCGGTACATGACATCTGAATTCGATACTCCAAACTTCGAGTATCTTGAACTTTCTGGAACTCATGGTTAAACCAATACTTTTTGCAGATGATTCCCATATGGTGGAGATGGTATTATTGGGCTAATCCTGTTGCTTGGACAATATATGGCCTTGTAGCTTCTCAAGTTGGTGACAAAGATGTTGATATTCAGATACCAGGATTTGGAAATGTAGGATTAAAGATGTTCCTTAAAGAAGGGTTCGGGTACGACTATGACTTCATCCCGGTCGTGGTCGTAGCACACGTCGTCTGGGTTCTCGCCTTCTTCTTTGTGTTTGCCTATGGCATCAAATTCCTTAACTTCCAGAGGAGATAGGCATCTATCTTCATCTTGTCTTCCGCAGTGCTGTGTAAAATTTGTTAGTGATTGCATTAGCTATATAGCCTTTATACCACAGAAATCAATTATTTAAGAGTAACAAATGAGGAAACAAAATGGTTCCCTCTTTTCAGTATGATGGCCAAGTAAATTTGAAAAGAAAAAAGAAAAAAATAAATCACCGTTTCAAAAACTGACTTAAATTTATGAGCATTTTGAGTGATGTTCCATATGATTTTTCGATATAGCGAATTGTAATATTCACTTGGCAAACTTTTTTTTTTTAATAGTTTACCACTTGTCATGGAATAATATGATTGTGATTTACATTGATTGGTTGATGATTCGTTCTTCACTATATTTAACAATTAAAGAAAGTTCTCTCTCCTACTAAAGATTTTTCAAAAGAGAGTGAAAAAAGGTGGGGGAGGGGTGGCCAGTGGCCTACTCACCCTCATTCCTCTCTTCGTGAAGGGTGTGCGTTTTTTTTTCAACTTTTTTGTTGTGTATTTTTAGAATGTGTTCCTCCGTACTTTCTTTTAGTTCTTTCGTGGTTTTTTTAAGTAGTAAGTATTATGGATAGAGATATTACAAGGATCTCTTTTGTTGTGGTGGAGGTGATTTTTGGGGAGGATCTTTCTTTCCTACTAGTTTATGTGATGGTGGATGGTGTCCAATGTCGAGGATCTCCCCGTTGGATGACATTGAGGCTGACAAAATCAAAGCCAACATTGTTACATATAGTCCATGGCTTCGTCACCGAGACGTTTTGAAGAGTTATTAGGCACAAAATTGGAGAGGGCTCCCATCTACGATCTCTTGGGATGACTCTCCATCTTCGTTGGGCAAGGATGACGAAGCAGAAGATGGGTGACGACAGAGGTGCGGCAGCCATTGCCTCGAACACTTTTTTAGAAACTGTGGAGCCTATCAGTCTTAATTGTATTAAAATCCGTGTCCAGTATGATTTGGAGAATTTGTATAATCATTCCTTACTTGTCAACTTTGGAGGTAATTATTTCTCTTCAAAATCTAAATAGGGCCATAATTCGATGAGGAATCTCCCCCGAAATCATTAAATGAGGTTGGGGATGTTGTGACTTTGGAAAAAGTGTTTAGTGGGTTAAAATTTGTTTATGTTCCTAGTTCTTTGAATAGAAAATCAATTTTA